AGGTACATGCAGTGTTTGTGGGAGCAACATCAGCATCAACCTGGTCTCCAGAGTCATACGCCAGCATGATGAATGTGCTGGGTCAGGGAGGCCTCCCATGTGAGGAGGCAGCACTCAGGAGCCTGATGCACCAATGCAAATCGCAACACATTACATTACAACAGACGACCTGCTAGAGGCAATTAAAGCAACGTCAACCAGGACACTCACCCACATCCCAAAGTCATCTCGCCCATTTGCTGCCGGTAAATACACGGACCTCATCATAAAAGTCAACAGAGAGTCAAATACCCTTGATGAACCGAATACCATCAAAGCCTGGTACAATTTGCTACTTTTTGGCTACGCATACTTAGGTGTACCAGACAGAGGAGGCAAGACACTGGCCTCATCCGTCAATAAAGCAAATAGGGGTTTTCCTAGGGCTGACAACCTAATCCACATCCCCAAACACACCAAACACCGCCGCGGCAAACCAAGTAAGACCCTCAGCGACAACAGGAAATTAAGTACCCAAGTCAGCAAGACAATGGAAGAAGGCAATACAGTCGGGGCACTCAGGTTGATCACAAGTGAGGACAAAATTTTGCCCAGGGATGAAACCACAACCCAAGTACTGAGAGAAAAACACCCCCTCAGGGCCATGGGGGGACCCTGACCTGCGGGGGATCTCCCCCCAAACCAGGAACCTCTCGTCCTCCGGGAGTCAGAGGTTTATAAAGCTATCGTTTCATTTCCCCCGGGTTCCTCAGGAGGCTACACATGGGTAAGACCTCAACATGTCAGTGAAATGGTGAACCCTGTTCTTGGCCCAGCTCCAGAGGCGCTCCTGACAGAAATCACAACGTTTGTTAACAACTGCCTCGCCGGGTTAATCCCTGATGAAATCAAACCTTTTTCTTTGGTGCATCCCTATGTGCCCTGAAAAAGAAGGGGGAAGGGATTAGACACATTGCCGTTGGTAATACCCTTCGCCGCTTAGTTGCAAGGGCTGCTGGCAGAAGTATCCGAATGGAAGCAGCCACCATGCTGCAACCCAACCAGCTGGGGTTTGGAAACCCCAGCTGGTTGGGTTGGAAACATTGAAACGGAATCGTAACATAGTTAGTATAACGTGTGTATCTCCTATATGCAACAGATAGTGCTGTTTCTTAAAAAAAAAATGTTTTTACCTGTCACAGATATGGCCTTTAATCTTATACTTACGAAATTAACCTTATGGTAAACAACACAGCTCAGTTTTAATGCAATGTCACACAAAATAATTAAATAAAAATGAAAATAAATTGAAATCTATGAAAATTCAATTTATAAATGCAATCGAAAACATTGAAATTGAATCAAAGCATATTTAGCATAGCGTGTGTTGCTATTACGTGCAACAGATGGCGCTGTTTCTTAAAAAAGGAATGTTTTTACCGGTCACAGGTGTGGCATCTATTCTTATACTTGCGAAGTGAACGGTATGGTAAACAACACAGCTCAATTCTAACGCAATGTCACATAAAACAATTAAATCAAAATGAAAATAAATCGAAATATGTGAAAATTAAATTTATCAATGCAATCGGAAACAGTGAGATGGAATCATAACGTATTTAGTATAGCTTGCGTGTGTTGCTATTACATGCAACAGATGGCGCTGTTTAAAAAAAAGCATGTTTTTACCCATCACAGGTGTGGCATCTATATAGTAGGTATATAAAAATACGTGCGTATTCGAGTGAAACGTTGTGTCAAAATTTCAAAGCAATTGGTGGAGAAGTTTCGGAGACAAGAGCGTGTGTTGCTCTTACGTCCAACAGATGGAGCTGTTTTTCTAAAAACGCATGTTTTTTCCTGACACAGGTGAGGTGTGTATATAGTAAGTATATTTAAAAACACGCTCCTATTCAAATGCAACGTTGTGTCACAATTTCAAAGCAATCGGTAAAGAGGTTTCGAAGATTTCACTCGCATGAAAATCACATGAAAAAAAACATTTTTTTTAAAGCATGTTTTTTTCCGACACAGACGTAACATCTATATAATATGCATACAAAAACTCACTCGGGTGCGAATGGAACATTGTGAAAATTTCAAAGCAATTGGTGAAGAACTTTCAGAGATTAAAGCATGTGTTGCTCTTACGTCCAACAGATGGCGCTGTTTTTCAAAAATAGCATGTTTTTTCCTGTCACAGGTGAGGCATGTATATAGTAGATATATAAAAAGACGCACCTATTCGTATGGAACGTTGTGTCAAAATTTCAAAGCAATCGGTAAAGAGGTTTCGAAGATTTCCCTCACATGATAAACACAGTTTTTCAGAAGAGCATGTTTTTTTTACCGTCACAGACAAATTCAAGTTCAAATTCAAATGTTTATTCAGGTAAAGTACATACATACAAGGTGTGATACAAACACTGATGGATTTATAGATAGAGCTAGTACATACAATGCCTAAAGCCACTATGACGCAAAGCGTTTCTGGCAGGAAAAACACTAAAGACTAAAACTTAATACTAATTGAGATTAAAGTATATGACTTTACAATATATATTTACTTTACATATAGACGTGACATCTATTTAGTATATATACCCCTGCCCAAACCTAAACTTTAAGCCTTCCCTGGGCTGCCACTTGAGCACAGGAGAATTAGGTGATTCACACCAGAGTCATATAAATTGTCAACCACAATACCGTGGACCAACCCGTCCTCGACTCAAGTCCATTACATTTAGCGGTCAACCCCACAGACGCATTCATAAATTTGTACATGCTGTTCATTCAAAACGGGAATTTTCTCAAATATAAATTAATATTATAATATATTACCATATTGTGCATAAATAGACATAGGTTAGGTTAGGTGTTTAGATTCTGTTTGTGATTATTTGTATTTGTCTCCCCGTCCTCCTAACAAAGACCCAAAAGTGATCCCAAGCACCGGCCAAACTCCCTGTTTATGAATGAAAAGCAGTTTACACACGACTCAAACCTGATGACGTCCGAACACTTCTGGGACAAGTGCTTCGCTCACGTCCTCTGTTCGAACCAGAATTTTATAAATGCTTCACCCACGTACTTAAAATAAAAATAATCGCCAACAGAACCTAAACACCTAATCTAACCTACGCCTAACTATACACAGATTTTTTATGTATAATATTATTAATTTATATATGAGAACAAACCAATTTTAATATACAGTATGTTTAAATTAATGAATGCGTCTGGGGAGGACGGCCGCGACTTTAAACAGTCTATGGACAGGTTGCATAAACAGGGAGTTTGGCGGGTGCATGGAATGGACTTTGACCTTTGTTTATGAGGACGTGCTGAAATTAGAAGTGCTTGGATTTGGGCTGAGGACGAATTGCATTTGTAGAGCTTGGGTGAAGCAATTACAGAGTTGTGATTCGAACAAAGTTCGTCAGCGAAGCACTGTTCGAGAAATGTTCGAACGTTATCAGTTGTGAGTCATGTTTGGCGGGGTTTGAAGGCTGGATTAACAAGTATTTGGCCTTCGTTGATGTCACAGGTGAGGCATGTATATAGTAGATATATAAAAAGACGCACCTATTCGTATGGAACGTTGTGTCAAAATTTCAAAGCAATCGGTAAAGAGGTTTCGAAGATTTCCCTCACATGATAAACACAGTTTTTCAGAAGAGCATGTTTTTTTTACCGTCACAGACAAATTCAAGTTCAAATTCAAATGTTTATTCAGGTAAAGTACATACATACAAGGTGTGATACAAACACTGATGGATTTATAGATAGAGCTAGTACATACAATGCCTAAAGCCACTATGACGCAAAGCGTTTCGGGCAGGAAAAACACTAAAGACTAAAACTTAATACTAATTGAGATTAAAGTATATGACTTTACAATATATATTTACTTTACATATAGACGTGACATCTATTTAGTATATATACCCCTGCCCAAACCTAAACTTTAAGCCTTCCCTGGGCTGCCACTTGAGCACAGGAGAATTAGGTGATTCACACCAGAGTCATATAAATTGTCAACCACAATACCGTGGACCAACCCGTCCTCGACTCAAGTCCATTACATTTAGCGGTCAACCCCACAGACGCATTCATAAATTTGTACATGCTGTTCATTCAAAACGGGAATTTTCTCAAATATAAATTAATATTATAATATATTACCATATTGTGCATAAATAGACATAGGTTAGGTTAGGTGTTTAGATTCTGTTTGTGATTATTTGTATTTGTCTCCCCGTCCTCCAAACAAAGACCCAAAAGTGATCCCAAGCACCGGCCAAACTCCCTGTTTATGAATGAAAAGCAGTTTACACACGACTCAAACCTAATGACGTCCGAACACTTCTGGGACAAGTGCTTCGCTCACGTCCTCTGTTCGAACCAGAATTTTATAAATGCTTCACCCACGTACTTAAAATAAAAATAATCGCCAACAGAACCTAAACACCTAATCTAACCTACGCCTAACTATACACAGATTTTTTATGTATAATATTATTAATTTATATATGAGAACAAACCAATTTTAATATACAGTATGTTTAAATTAATGAATGCGTCTGGGGAGGACGGCCGCGACTTTAAACAGTCTATGGACAGGTTGCATAAACAGGGAGTTTGGCGGGTGCATGGAATGGACTTTGACCTTTGTTTATGAGGACGTGCTGAAATTTGAAGTGCTTGGATTTGGGCTGAGGACGAATTGCATTTGTAGAGCTTGGGTGAAGCAATTACAGAGTTGTGATTCGAACAAAGTTCGTCAGCGAAGCACTGTTCGAGAAATGTTCGAACGTTATCAGTTGTGAGTCATGTTTGGCGGGGTTTGAAGGCTGGATTAACAAGTATTTGGCCTTCGTTGATGAGTACAGCCTGTTCTACGAGGACGGCTGGCTGAAGGACGGGTATCCAAAAAAACAATAACATCTTCGAAGCTTCGAAACCTCGCCAATGAACCCGTTTCAGCTTGACGCTGCAGTCAACCTCGCTCACAGACATGCCGTCCTATCGACCATTCTCATCCCATCCACAGGAGTGACCTGAGCTGTTCTTTACGTTTGTCATTTATTTCGCTTCGGAAGCGTTAATCTCCAGTGATTTGTGCGTGTGGCCTTTGGTTATATACCGATTTTTGCCAGTGACAAACTTTTAAATACAAAAATGAGAAGCTCCTTATTGTCTGTCCTGTGGCTGGTGTTGTGGTAAGTATAGGTTGCCGACTATGTTTTCAAGAAGTGGATATACCCACATGCATTACTATGCCACTCCCCCGTCCAGGAAAATTCTTCCCTCCCATAAAATGCTTCAGTTCATAACTACCGCACCATGTCTTTGCCAAACCTGTTAACGATTTGCCACACTTGTATTGTGGTTTTCTAGACCTCGACCTATAAAGATCTTAATTTTAGGTTGATTTGCATACTTTAAGTTGCAATAACGTTAGGAAAAGTAAACACCAAACCCACATACCTGAAAACTACTATTTGATCCATGCTACTATAAAATGGTAAATAACAAAGTTGGTAGTTGCAATCTGATAGACTGCGTGGTATTAATGGATGTGCATAAACACGGACCCAAATGTAAACAAATGCGATTTTGTATAAATATACGTACATAGTTTGTATTTAAATACATTTGACATGTTGAAAGACATTCACTGAAACATTAAAATTTTTAATATTGGCATAACCCTGAGAATTCAACGTTTACGTGAAATTTTAATTTGTAGTAAAGGACGTAACACTTTCGAATGTTTAATATGAACATCGATGGGTGCTGAGGCTTCTAAAAAAAAAATCATAACACTGCACGTCTTCTCAAATTACACGAAGGATAAAAGTAGGTTGCCTTACACGAGCCGAGGGGAGAGTTTTAAAGGGAAGGCGTCGAACCATTAGGTTGAATCAGATTGCTTCATATATTGGCATGTACCCACAGGCAGACTAAGCCCGTCTCTGCAGTGTTGTATACTGTACTGCAGAACTTTGCAGAGACGTAGTGACGGTTAGGAGAGATTAGAAAATGATCAGACGGGGTGGGGAAAAGAGCACACAGTTGACCCGGGTACCCCATGCAGTTTACTATAAAAATTAACTTTTAGTCTATGCCAAGCAGACCCTTAAAGACCAAGTCTGTGAATAGATTGGTCTCATTACACATTAGGCTGCTTGATGCCAGTGTTGGCTTTACCCTGTACCTTCCGTGCTTCAGGGTTCGTGTGTGTGGCGTGTGGGGAGCGGCCATGGCCCCCATGGTACCGTACCAGGGCCGGGGTAGAGACTGCCGGTGTGTGCCCAACGAAGAGTTCTGCACCATGGAGGTTCTTCCCCTCTCTGTCGTCGCTGCATATTCTTTTGCAGTGAGTTGTAGCAAACTTGCTGGCCATGTTGCAAATTTATGCCTGTCTACTTGAGGTTTTCAACGCTTTTAGTGACTAAAATTCAAAAACTGTTTCTTGAGCATTAAATTTGATTGCGTTGTTTTTCATATTTTTACCCATAACCTTCGTTGGAAAAACTACAAATAAAATTTTGTTGCAGCCATATACCTGCCGTTTAGGGACAAGATTGTGCTGCGAGACGAACCCGGCTCAACCTGACGCGAAGAAAAAGAACACCGATGACCTCTTGGATGATGGGGCCTTAATAGTCAAGGTTCCTTCCCTCCAGCCATATTACGACCTGCAGCTTCGCTACAGCAAAGGTTAGTGTGGGGGGGAGAAGTTAGTTCTAAAGTTTCGTAGCAAAAGTAACTTAGGGTTGTTTGGTACAATTCCCGTGTGGTACTCGGGACAGCTGAAGGTCTATTTAGTGCCTACGAAAATATTCGGTTTCAAATTGAAATATATTAAACTGGGGGGGATAAATCGCTGCTGGACCCCCCCCCCCCACCTTAACTCGTTGCAACAAGCCGGGAGGCAGGGTACCTACTTGCAATAGTTTCGGCTGTTTGCGAACTAAGTCTGCTTCTGATTTAATCCGTAGAAAGTGTAAACAATTAAATTCTAACTAGATTAGTAGGAAACTGCTGACAGCGGTCGTTTTTTTGTCCAAGCAAACGTTTGCAGAAGTTTTTTTACTTTCCATAACAGGCATGAATAGTTATGAACATGCCGAAAACTATAGTTTTAAACATGTTAATTGCTAGGTATTAAGTCATAATGCTAAATTAAAACAAAATGAAACCAATAAGCATTTATAAAGCGGCTTTCTGTTGGCGGCTTTGGATCCTGCACCCAGATGTTAGAAGGGCGCCTTGGTTTAAAGCTGGCTGTAAGTAGCCTTTTCTCTCTAGCCTTGACTCGCTTCTTTTAACACTTTAGCTAGCTATTTCTCTAAACTTCACACCATACGGGGTCTACGGAACATTGTGCCTTTACCTAAATCATCCATAGTGTTAGATGGACGATAGTGTTACCATGGAAGATGTTTGGGAATGATCTGATGGAGTTAAGGGGGGGGGGGGCTCATTTCGGTGTGTCTTCTGGATGCTGCCAGGATTAGCGGTGCAGCGGGACTGACGTCCATGGTCCATGTAAAGTTTGAGGTGGGGGGGGGGGGGGGGGATTGCTTCCCCGACCGGGTGGTGCCTCGCAGGCCCTCTTACTAGATCCGGTACTTTTAATATAAAAAGCCAAACTTGTATAAATACTCTGGCTTCCTGTCCCCAGACACGGTAAATTAGACTTGCCTAGTATATAGAGGCTCTCCAGATGGATCTCTACCAGTGCCCTGCGCTCCTCTTCGTGAGATGTTCCAGAAACTGTTCCCTCGATAAGCCATCCATGCCTTGGGGCAGATGTTTTCACCCATGGAACCGCCTACCCACCGATGCAGTAAATGCCAAAACCGTTTCAAATCTACCTGGAAAAGATCATGACAGTCAATGGAGGGAGTACCTTAGATATGCCGGCTGATTCCTCTTCTCGTAGAGGCCACTAAGATTAGTAGCCATCGGGTAAATGACTTCTTCCATCCCGACTCGCTCGAGGTGGACCCCCACCTCGGGCGGCGGAGTCTTGTCGACGGCCTAGCCTGGCCAGGCCGCTAACAGATTCTCCTTTCAGCCTCCGATCTCACAATAGTAGTCTCCCCGCAAAACAATAAGGCTATATATTTTCTTTTCCTAATTGCTTTCCCGCACAGTTTGAATTTTAACTCCTTCACACTTGTTAAAACTGTCGCGGCCAAATATTTAATGCTTCTCGTGGAGATGTTCACCACACGTCGCTTGGGCATTTTGCCAGTAATATTGCTGTAACGTATACATTCACGGGTGACAAGAGGTGGATTTTGAAGATTTTTTTTAGTAAAGGTTACAGTAGTCGGATGTTGGAAGTGAAATCTCTTATGAGCAGAAGCTTGTTGCATGCTGCTAGCAATCGGATAGGACGTGGTGCTACAGGAGGTCGGAGCTTGAGGCCTGGAGCAAAGAGCCTGGGAGGCCGGGGGTAGAGTGCTCGGAGGAGTACTCTAGCTCGAACGAGGGAGGGATCTGGGACCTCTAATGAGGGACGAGAGCAGGTAGCTGGGATAAGGGCGGACTTGACGGTTCACTCTGTAGCTGTAGTTTTTGGATCCATCTACTCGGAAGAAAGTTAAAAAGTAACACGGGTTACGGCGAGCCCGTAATGTACTTACTTGGCACAGGACCTAACCTTGTAGCGAGGCTGCAGCCCCTTTCTAGTAAGAGTTGGAACTGGACTCGTATTGTTAAATCTTGTACTAATCAATGGATGCTAGAGACCGTTAATCTATTTTCACAGAATCGCTATTAGCATGAATGACACTGCTACGTCCCTGATGGACTTATCCACGCTTCACCTGGCCTTGGGTTGGATACGGTTTGCCAGCACAATTCAAAGGAATAAAAGAATTGGTAACTAGGTATCCACAATGCAGAGTTGGTAGCAATGCTGTTAGCACACTAAATTGACAACACTGAAGTAGACAGCTTAATTATTTCACTCGCTTTCCTCACTACGAGCAATAAACAGTTTGCAGTAAAGTAATAACGTGCTTGTCTCAGAAGCTAGACACGTATATAAGCATACTTAGCAAGAGGGTAATATATAAAAATGTAGATTCCGTCTCGCATTGGCCTGCAGGAACATGATAAAGTTGACGCCCTTGCTAAGGCTGCAGTAAATGAAGACGGTATTGAACGGAATCGGTTATCAAATAGGTTCCTTAAGTGTCATTAGAAAAGAACTCCTGGATGAATTTAAAGTAGAACAGTGCAAACTGGAACTAGCAGGTCCTTTGTTTATCACAATGAAATGTAGAGTACAACATGTGTATGGGGCAAGTAACAAAATAAGCAGAGTAACAGACGTTGGCACAGCTCGAATAAGACTTGACTAAAAGTATCTCTGCAGTTCGGTTTGTATAGGGATCTAGATGTAAAGTGTGGACAAAGACAGGGACACACAAGACATAACACTTTAAGAAAAATGTAGTGTATTGACTAATAATAAACAGCAGCTCCCCAATGACAAGTATCTCAATTGCTCAAATTCTTTTATCGATAAGACCTACCATAAATGTGTAATTACTTGCTGTAAAAATATAGCTCTTGAAATGGAACACACTGTAAGGTGTGAAGGATAGATGGAATTTTATCAAAGATGGTCTGATAAAGACCTTGTGTGTCCTCTGTAATGCTTTTTGCGCTACCGCTCACAGGATGAGTATGGGGTGCACAATAAACTAGCCCTCTTCGGCGGCAACAAGTCAAATGGAAAAGTTGATCATTTGGCCTGATAGGGGAAACTGGTTGGTTACTTATCACTTTCCTAAGTGATTATTGCCGTTTATGATTGTGATTATTTCCGAAGTGACGTTGGGAAAATGTTAATTGTCGTTAATGGTTGATGAATGACCGAAAGCGTCATTAGTGATTAAAAGTAGCTAGTACATAATCTAATGTGGTATGTTACGGACCAATGACTGCGTATTCCAGCCCAAAAAAGGTTAATTATTTAACACCTCGGCACATTTATTAAAATATTATATTGGTTTCACACTAATGTTAAATAAATATTTGTTTAAACTGGCAAAATCAGTCGCCCATAGAATTTTGTAGCTAGCTCGGTAAGATTCTTCTTGATGGTAGGGTTTGCATGAAGGGTTTGTCCTCCCGATGACTGCACCAGTGCAGACGTTGGGAGAAGAGTTTATGTTGAGGACAAGAGTTTAAAGTGCTTTTTACGTTGTGGTGTAGATAGAAGAGCTGCGACTAAAACAGATATATGTGGAGGGAGACTTGCCGCACCGTAGGGCGGTATGTTTGTGGCCTCGGCTGATCCTTGGGGCAGCGACGAGGCATATGTTTTCAATGTTGAGCTGTTGGTGGAGCCAGATGTAAATGTGGCGCGGGTCAGATGGGGCCCAATTTGTTGGTAGACTAGAGATGTTTAGCCAGTGCTTTGACTATTTGGTATTTTTCTTTTGAAGCGTGGTCACCACCTCCTAATATATGCTCGATAGTAAAGAGTATTTTAAGTGAAAAGTACTTGTTTGAAATTTACTTTGGCACTAGGATGTCGGAAGCGGTGAAAGAGATGGTGTTAGATTGTTTCGGGCACCTGACAGTGGATGCAGAGTTCGTTGATGTCTGTTCTGTGCTTAGAGCTGTGTGCTGCCAGTTTGGTGTCCCAGCCCTAATTATTCTGGTCATGGTTGCATAAATTTCTTCTATCTAACATGTTTCGAAGTTTCCCATGTCTTTTTAGTGGACCCATAGTACAAAGACGAGTATGAAGTTTTCCACTTCGTCGGCAAATTTTGGGTGATGGTATATTTTTTTTAAGGCTCCTTTACGTGCAACATGGGGAATTGGATGAGGGGTAATGAGGCGCGTTGTGCACTGCTTTGGCTAGTTGATCTATTAGTTCATTATGGAGAATACCACAATGCGCTGTGACCCATTGGATAGGTGTCATAACCGTTCAATCGATGCTCATGAAGTTAGACATGACAAGACAAACTGGACTGGTAATGTTGATTATTTGGAGAGCTTGATGTAAGGCATGTAAATCGGCTATGGAAAATAGTTGGTTTGGTCTCTGCCATCCCTGCTTGAGATGGTATTCGGGTATCCATACAGCGCTAGTGACAGAGGGTACATTTATCATGATGCAAGATTCATCTGTAAAAATCTGTGGTATTTGGGTAGCAATTTTTCATTGTTGAGACAGACTGAGGCTATGGCTGATTTTCTAGTGCAGACTTTTGGAATGTTGTCTAAAGTTGTATTGATGTATTAGTTGTAGAAAGCAAAGGTGGAATGGGGGAACAGTAAGTTGGGTTTCAGTTTGAGAGGTCTATATTGAAGTTATTTGTAGCTCGTGTGAGGAAATTACACACAGAAATCCCAATACCGTGATGCATCAAATGAACGGGACACCAGTTTGTATTGGAATGCCATCGGAAAACTCGCCTTGTATATAGACTTTAGAGGTCCTGTTCGTAAGATAGGACTGTAACCATAAAAGTAATCTTCCCTGTATGGCTAAACGTGCAAGCTTTGCCAAGAGTAAAGTATGGGGAATGCTATCAAAAGCTCCTTTGAGGTCTAGGTAGAGAAAAATACAAAATTCACTGCTTCTGAGAGGTGCGGATTTCATGTTAAAGGCAGAGTATTTGATAGTGTGGAGCATTGCGGTCGAAATCCAGCTTGGAGTGACGGTATAGAATTATACT